CTTGTAGGACACTCTTGTCGGGCACTCTTATGGGACACTCTCTTGTGCACGACACTCTTGTAGGACACTCCTTGTGGGACACTCTCGTGGGTCACTCTTATGGGACACTCTTGTCGGACATTCTTGTGGGACACTCTTGTGAGACACTCTTGCAGGACACTCTTGTGGGGCACTCTTGTGGGACACTCTTGTAGGACATTCTTGTAGGACACTCTTGTGGGACAATTTTGTGGGACACTCTTGTGGGACACTCTGGTGTGACACTCTTGTAGGAAACTCTTGTGGGACACTCTTGTGGGACACTCTTGTGGGACACTCTTGTAGGAAACTCTTGTGGGACACTCTTGTAGGACACTCTTGTGGGACACTCTTGTGGGACACTCTTGTCGGACACACTTGTAGGACACTCTTGTGGGACGCTCTTGTGGGACACTCTTGTAGGACCACTCTTGTGGGACACTCTTGTGGCTGTGGGACACTCTTGTAGGACACTCTTGTGGCACACTAGAAGCAATCCTGCGAGCGTTTCGTACGAGACTTTCTCCAAAAGTCACGCGTCAAGTCTCCAAAACGAGCGCTTCGTACGAGACTTCCTCCAAAAGTCACACGTCAAGTCTCCAAAACGAGCGTTTCGTACGAGACTTCCTCCAAAAGTCACGTGTCAAGTCTCCAAAACGAGCGTTTCGTACGAGACTTCCTCCGAGACTCACATGTCAAAGTCTGCAAAACGAGGATTTCGTACGAGACTTCCTCCAAAAGTCAAGCGGAAACACCCATCGGAGCGCACACATCACGCAGCCCTGCCAAGCAGTTTCGCGAGTCCAGCCCCTCCAAACAATACCCCCTCACACGCCAATCCCAATGTGACAGCGACATTCACCTCTACCACAACTCACGACCTCACAATTCCCTGCGCCTGCCACGAATCTTTCCGCATCCACACGTCTAACGCGCACAAAGTACTGCGCCTGCCACGAATTGTCACCTCCGTCACACCTCGCAACCTCACGATTTCCTGCGCCTGCCACGAAAATCGCACTTCCACACCTCAAAATCAGCACAAAGTACTGTGCCTGCCACGAAAAGTGAGAAGATCATCTCACGTGAGCTTCAACAAAATTTGCACCACACCACACGTTTAGAATGATTTCGACCCGTTCTGAGCACACTCCCATCCACCAAAATCGCCATTTCAGCTGAGACTTGTCACGAAAACAGAGCTTCGATGCCACACCCTGAAACGCAAATCCCAATGGCACGGCCACATCCAACACCCCAAAAACACGACTCTCCAAACGCTAATCCCAATGGAACTGCGCAGTAAACTGCGGATCTCTCAAACCACTGCGCCTGTGCAGCGAAATGCATCACGCTTCTGGCGCGACATGTCATTTTCATGCAAATCACAATGGAATAGCGTCGCAAACTGACACGTGACACATCCATGAAAAGTCACTTGCAAAAGCTTCCCCCAATGGCAGCGCCTTAGCGTCCTACTGCGAACGGTTGCGAACGGTTGCGGACGGTTGCGAACATAGAAGCAACGGATCGCGAACAAGACTCTACCCCCAGACCCCCAAGAGTTAAACGAGAACCCTTCGCTACGCATTCGGGAAAAACGAGGAACAAAAGGTAACAAGAAGCCACTAGGAACAAGTGTCTTAATAGCTTGTTACTACTAGCGTGGCACCTGTTACTACTAGCGGGGCACTTGTTCCTAGAAGCGATGCACTTGTTACTACTAGTAAGAACAGAAAACGAAAACGCTTCGGCTCACCTCCAAGAGTTTGATCATGACGTGAGCTTCCACGTTGGGTTCCCAACCAATGGTGCAAACCGTGGGCTTCTCACTTTCGCTCTCAAGCTGAGTGTGCCGTTCCCCAGAGCTCCCAAGTGAGTGACAGGAAAGTGCAACGGCCTCGACAGCTGTGAAGACTGCGGCAAAAAAAAACTGCTTTTCTTTAGCTTTATTAGTTGCTAGTAAGGGCCTCCAACCTACTAGCGATGGCGCGTCCTTGTTACTGTCATCAGATCAGAAATTGGACACAAAACGTCGCCTCTGGTGTTGCCATCGAGGTCAACTGTGACATTTGCTGCGCATAGATCTCGGGTGAGATCACAAGCGCTCGCAAGGCAGCACTTTCTTCAGCAAGAGTCTCGGACTTGGTCTCTGTCTTCGTGCTAGCGCCACTAGCGGTGGCGCTTGCGGTGCTCGGTGCACTTTCGGATTTCACTCCGAACAGACCGGAAGTACTCGCAGTACTCGTCGCAGTACTCGTCGTACTTGTCGTACTTGCAGTATTCACCATTTCGGACTTGACGGGATTTCCTCCAAAATGACCCACCCTTCCTTCACGCTTCACGTTCTCTTCTTTGATACTCTCCACGTTGATGATCTCCGAGATCTCCAAAATGTCTTGGGAGAGCTTCCGAGCCAATTCACGCACGGAGTCTTCCACTTCTTTCTTCTTCCGGGCAGCTGCTTTGGAATGAACTTGTTGCACTTTCTGGGCCTCTCTTTCTCGCAGCTCTTCCAATCGCCGTGCTTTAGCTTCAGCAATCTTCGTCTCCAAATTCTTTTCCTCCGTCTCCTAGGCCGTGAGAGGTAGCTGGTAGCTAGGCAGCTAGCTAGCTAGCAAGGTAGGTAAATACTAGCTGCAAGTAAGCTACAAACCACTGAACGCAGGATAGCTCACGCTTCCTTGAAGCGCTCACCGAGGCCATCGCTACTAGTAACAATCAAGCTTTTCTTTCTTAAAGCCCGCTCCTGCTTCTTCTCTTCGCGGCACAGCAAAGGCAAGGCCTGTTGTTTGGGCATGGGCTGAACTGCGGGGCGAATTGGAACTGCCTGGCCGTCTTTCTCCTTTTTCTCCTTGTCCATCTTTTTCTCCTTGTAACAAGTGCCCAATTGCATCGCTACTAGGAACAAATGCCTTACTAGTAGTAACAATGTGTGCTATGAATTTAATTTTAAATTTGGTTTCTAATTTTAAACTTGGTTTTAGTAACTGCCTTCCCACGACGAACGTAAGAAGTGTTGGAACTGCCAAGTCTCCCTCTTCTTCTCTTTCTTCTCCTTTTTGTCTTTCTTGTCTTTCAGAACTTCGCGGCTTTGGTCTTTCTTTGCAATCCGCTGCTTGGCTTCCAACAACTTGGCCCTCAATTCTTCAGAAGCTGTGGCCTTCTTCACTTCCATTTTCTTCTCCTTCTCATCTTTCACGTCCTTTTCTTTCTCTGGTTTCTCTTTTGTGTTCTCCCTTTCTCGTCTGCCATCATCTCTGTGTCTTCGCAAGGGTGAGAGCTCTTCTTCTCGAGTTTTCTGCAGCTTTGTGCGCAAATCTTTCACTGATGCCTTGGACACGGCACTGTTCTTGCGCTTCGTCGGACTCTTCTCCACCCTCGCGCCCGTGGCGCCCGCCTTCGCTGCCGTCCGCCGTGCTGCTTTCGGTTCGACGGGATTGGCGCTGGCCATCGGCTTGCGAGGGTCCACCGCCACCTGAGCCGATTCCACAAACACCTACGCACACAGCCAAGCTCTGAACATTCTGGGAAAACGCTCTTCGACACAAAGCCCCAGCGACACAAATGGAATTTGAGACACTCTTGTAGGACGTCGGAGACGCTTCTACGGAATATCCTACGAGACTTCCTCGCAAAAGCGGAGCGGGAAGTCTCATCAAACAGAACACGCAGCGAACTGTCTTCCGTGATTCTTGCTTTGTCCTCCCCCAGGGGTTTGAAATCGTTTGCGAGGTGCGGTATCGCATGGGGATTGGAAGGTCTAGGAGTTCCAAGCCCGTCCAAAAAGCCGCTGACACGCCAATCCCGGCGCCGCGACATCGCACTAAACGTAACCACTGCGTGATTCCCTGCACCCACTCAAACTGCATGTCAGCTCGACATGTCTAGCATCACGGCGTCACATCGCACGCTCGGCCATCGCTACTAGGGAGGCCATCGCTCCACCAAACGAGAGCCCCGTGTGTTCCACACATTTGGGAATATATGCAAACATTCATACATCATCATACATGTGGACATTCCGTGTTGCACACTGAAAACTGCATTGTTCAGAATTGACTCAATATCAGGCCTCCATGAAGGATGCCAATGAACCCAACGCCTCCGCGGCACGTATGGCCACATCTTCATCACTATCGGCCTCTGGATTCTGGAGATTCTCCTTTCTATCTGGTTTCGAGTTTCTGGATGCTTCGCTTTCGTCCGCTTTCTTCGACTCGACCGTTTGGGATGGACATCTTGACGAACCTTCCCCTTCTCTATGCGAACCTGGTGGATCTTGTGATTCTGGTCTTTCCGTACTTTCGTAGTTGGTCTCCGAAGCCGAAGCTTTCTCCTTTCCGTCCTTCTCCTTTTCTTCTTTTTCTTGCTTCTCATGTCCTTTTTCGAGTCCTCTTTCGCTTTCTTCTTCAAGTGCCTCTGCAAGGTCGGAGAGCACAGCAGCAGCTTGCCAGGCGGCGTCCGCTTCACGTGCGAGTTCTTCTTCTTTCACACGAAGCAACGTCGAAGAAGTGGAAGTTGTCCGATCAGCAATTTGTCCAAAGAATTCTTCAATCTTCTTCTTCTCCATCTCTCCACCCCGAGGCCATGCTGCTCGAGGAAGCCTAAAGAACACAAAGACAACCACACCGACTATTTTTTTCCCGATGTACATTGCATAATATTGTATATGTATCCCTGTGTTGCGCTCTTAGTGCTACTCAAAGTAAAAAGCAATACTCTAAGTATAAAAGTAGAAAAGGCTTCTTTCTTGGCAAACTGCTACTCGTCCAAAAACAGCTCTACACGAATTCTTTCCTACTTCTCCTAAGCTGTCGCATTCTGAGCCGGACAACCGCTCGCAAAGGACGATGAAGCGTGGAGAGATCAGTTGCTTTAGGGATGAAAACTTTTTCTTTTCTCTTCGTGTTTTTTCTTTAATAGAAACAAGGTTCGCTACTAGGAACAAGTGCCTCGCTACTAGTAACAAGTGCCTTACTAGTAGTAACAAGGTTCGCTACTAGGAACAAGTGCCTCGCTACTAGTAACAAGTGCCTTACTAGTAGTAACAAGGTTCGCTACTAGGAACAAGTGCCTCGCTACTAGGAGCAAGAAGCTAGTAGAACATGTTTTAAGGTTTTTTCTTTCGCAAAAAAAACGCTGATTTCAAGACTCCCTTTTGCCGAGCTCGGCGTTGCATCGGTGAAACAGGTGAGACACGACACGCGACGGAAAAACCCTGTGTCCAAGCCAACGAGAGCATTCGCCTGATAAACAGGTTCTTTCTTTCATTCTTTTCTATTTAGTAACACGGTTCGCTAGTAGGAACAAGTGCCTCGCTAGTAACAGTTTAACAAGTGCCTTACTAGTAACGAAGCTATTTTATCTCATCTCTCTTCGTTCTGTTTTCGAACATAAACGTCTTTCTTTCTTCTCGTGGCTGCGACGACCGGTCCCCGGTCCCCGGTCTGTCTTCTTCAGCTTTGCGCCTAAACAGAATGACGCGTCTTTTCACGTTTTCATTTAAACCGTTTTTTCATTCTGAGTTCCTTTCCCCAGACCTTACTTTGTAAGGTCCACCCCCTTCTCCATCATTTTCACCTCGGGCCGCATGATGACAACCAAGGAAGAGATGAAGAAACGAAGCACAAGAAAAGAAACGAGAAAAAAATAAAACACAAAAACACACACACACTTGTTGTTTGGATCGAAAGCACGAACTCATCGAAGGAAATTTCGCCATCCCCATCAAGGTCCACTTCGGAGACCATGGCCTTGATGGCCTCCAAAAGTCCGATTCCGAAAAACAAAGCGAGGCACTTGTTCCTAGTAGCTTCTTGCTACTAAATACAAGAAATCGGAAGTATTCTTACACATGAAAAATTCTTCGCATGAACTAGCACTCTGGATCGTCTGAACAGCTGTTTTTTTGGTGTTCCACTTTGCACTCCCCAACACTAAAAAAGAATTCTAGGAGCAACTGAACTGTGAACCGAGATTTTTGGGAGCATCTGGGAGCCAAATATTGCGAGCTATCTGTCCATTCAGGGCTCCGCATTCCTTGCAGAATGCTGTGAATCTATGCTGAGCTGCTGAGCCACAACTACAACACAAAGGCCTCGCCATCCGCCTGCTCCTTCAAAATTGCTGCCAGCTCCTGCTCGCTCTGTACGTTTCTCAATGACCGTCGGTGGCAGAACTCAGAACACGTCCTGCTTGGTGATTCGTCCGTCACCATCCTTGTCAAAGACCCGGAAAGCAGACCACAGCACTTCCTTTTTCAAATACTGCTTCTGACCTCAGAACCGACCTAGATCTTGGAAGCGACCTCTTCTAGCGGCCTACCCCAAAAAAGATTTAATGCCCGAAATAGAGTATCGCTACGAACGGAGCAAGGACGCTACTAGAAATAAGTGCATCGCTTCTAGTAACAAGTGACAAGTGCCTTACTAGTAGCAACAAGAAGCTATGAGGAACAAGTGCATCGCTTCTAGTAACAAGTGACAAGGCCTTACTAGTAGCAACAAGAAGCTATTAGGAACAAGTGCATCGCTTCTAGAAACAAGTGACAAGTGCCTTACTACTAGCAACAAGAAGCTATTAGGAACAAGTGCATCGCTTCTAGTAACAAGTGACAAGTGCCTTACTAGTAGCAACAAGAAGCTATTAGGAACAAGTGCATCGCTTCTAGTAACAAGTGA